ATGTGCGCTCATTTCCCCAGTGGTTTCCTACAAAGATCTCCCCAAAGGCAGTACCTGATTTCTGGACAGGGTCACCTGGAAAGGCAGTTTAAAAGGCTGGTGTGATTGGCATCCGGATGCTACAATAGGCAAACCATCCCCCAAATGATCATGGACCTGTTTTCACTAATAGGAAAAAAAGGGACAAGGAGAGAGAGGGTCACCTTTGGAATGCCAATCTGAGCAGTACTTGAGTTTGCTGTTTTTCCCAGGTTCCGTTTGGATGACTAGCATTACGTGGAAAGGACTAAATTCTCTGTGTAAGTCAAGTGGATTTACTCGGCATTCCTGAAAAAAATGAGCATGTTCTTTTCTCCAAAGACACAATGACATCCACTTCCACAAGTGGAAGGGAGGGACATTTTATTTGCTATTTCTATTTTAGAAAGAGAAAGTACTGTTAACCCCATATAACCAGGAGACTCTTTCACCACGAGTATTTACGTGATTTTCTAGTTACAAGATCATGAAATTGTGTTGAATTTGCTGCTTCTTGACACCCTCTGATATAACCCGAGAACTGAATATCCATTTTACATTGAGTAATTCTCCCTATATCTCTTAAGTTATCCCCATAAATTAACTTATCCCCATAAATGCTTCAGATCAGCAGAGAAAAAGTAAATTTATGTTCATCTTAAATTGTGAATGTAATATTATATGAAAGAATCATAACCAAACAATTTATTTAAAAATCTAGGTGTTTTTAAACTCACGGATTTCTTGGTAATAAGCTCTATTTTGAATTTTTTCACCTACTTAAATATTCCTTATTCATTGATTTGGAATTTTAGCAGTTAGAGGCATTGGTCATCTAGTACAATCCTCAAGTTAATAGACAAACATGATTAGACCCACGGCAAAGTAGTTTATCCCATATCTCAATACTAGGTAGATTAACTATTTTCAACAATGTAATTAAATATCACATTTTAACACAGAAATTGCATATTACTCATACCCCAGATATAACATTTAGGTAAACAGATCTTGTATGTTTAGCAGCAGGTGAATTAATAGAGTGTTGATTTTATAAATTGCAGACGACTCTTAGAAAAGCTCCTGTCTCATAGTAGGCACTTAATAAATATTTGTTAAATGAGGGATAGCTAATAACTAATGTTTAATGACTCTTAAGTAATCTGTGTGGCAGACACCATGCAAAGCTCATTAGGCTGGCTATCTCCTTTAATCCCCACCTACCTGCTCAATATCAATATTGTAAGTAGTATTATTATGCCAATTTTAAAGAAAGGGACAAAAATGATTAAGTGGTTTGCCTAACTACCTTTAGCTAGTAAATAATGGGGCGTGGTGCTGAAACTTAGTCTGCTCCCAAAGCCCTCGCTCTTAATCGTATAGAAATGTAAGAGTTAACACATGGTCTTAAATTTATACTAGGATGTAAATGACTGATAATATACCCTTTCTGGATATTAGATTTTTGAAAGAATACTTGTATCAGATAGGAAAAGTGACCAAAAATAGGTCCTAAACAAGATTCATCTGGTTAATTTTTCAGCCCAAAGGTAGATTTTGACGGAGTTCATTTATAATACTAAGCTTAATAATTTACAACATTAAGCAACATGTTAGGACATATATTCATACATTTGAATTCTTTTCATTTTATCATATGAGGTAAAAATATATTAAGCAAATATGAAAGAGTTATAGGAAAGATTCCTTTCTCAAACTACAGTAATAAGATAGTTTATACCAAGACTTTAAACATGTCGCTCATGACCATGGAACATGCTATGAATGTATCTAAAAATCCTGTCATTGATGGGTGAATCTGACTTTTTTTCACATATAAAATATGTATAATAATACACATCACCGTATATTTGTTTTTGAGCGTTATTTGATATCTCCATTCATATTTCAGGAATCATTTTAGTTAGAGTGTGAGATTTTGAAATGAATAATTCAAAATAAAAGACATCTTAGTTCTCCTTATAATCATTCAGTTCTTAAATATAATTCATCATTTTAGATTTCCAGGATTTGCTCATGAAATTTGCCTCAGCATACAAAAACTGTGTGAAATATGGAGGAGTGTGAGTTGAAAGCACTACTGGACCCACAGCACTTCAGCCCATTTAAAATAACTTCATTCTTGGGGCTGGCCCCATGGCCTAGTGGTTAAATTCCACATGCTCCACTTTGGCAGCCCAGGTTCAATTCTTGGGCATGGACCTACACCACTCATCAGTGGCCATGCTGTGACAGTGACCCACATACAAAATAGAGGAAGACTGGCATAGATATTAGCTCAGGGCCAATCTTCCTTGGCAAGATAATAATAATAATAATAATAATAATAATAATAATAATAATAATTCCATTCAGATATTAAACATCTAGCTTCTAGTAACACTCTGGAATTAATTGCTATGGAAAAAGAACCCTGATCCAGAGATGTCTTTGGGAATATAAATAAGTAAATAATGCCAACACTATTTACTGTTTGTTACCTGAAAAGCTAACAACTAAAAGACAAATCCAAAAAGTTTTGCAGTTTGCTAAAGAACATTTGGGTGACAATGATTTCACTTCCCATCCTCGTTTATTACTTTAAGATACTTCTGAGTCCACAAAGAACTATCCACTTGTGCTCCTCTCCCTCCATGGCAAAGTACCAGCTTTGGAACCAGAAGCCTCCAATTCACATTGTAACCCTGGAAGTCAGTAGCTGTGGTACCTTGGGGAAGCCACTTATTGGAGCCTCATTTCCTCGTGTACTATGATGGCAAAAATACCTACCTTACAGGGTCATAGAGGAATTGAATGAGAGAATATATAAGTAAAACAAATGCAAGATGCTAATTACATACTTACCTCTCTACTTAGGAGGATGCAGGTTTAAGGAAAGCTATTGAGTTGGTTTTGTAAACTTGTCCTCACTTATTAATTGGGTCAATTAATCGGGTCAATCCAACTGGTCATGGCCCAGTTCAATAAAGTTATTCAACCAAACCTGACAATTGAGCCAAAGGATCAAACCCATCACTTGATGTAGACCCAGTTACATTAAACATTAACAGAGCCTTAAAAGTAAGGAGCAACTAACTAATAAAAAGGAACCAGTAACGCCCAGAATGTGCCTGAATGCAGTAGAACTTCTTCTCCAGGAATCCCCAAAGCTCCAGAGAGCAGTTCAAGCCAAAACTGCGAACTCCCTGCCTTGTCCTTCAAATGATGTGAACTCTGAACACATTTTCTGTGCAGCTGGAGGCTTTGTTACAGACAGAAGGATCTTGCTTAGCGAGGCCGGTGTTTACAGCCTAACTTTTTTAAAGGGGAATTTGGAAAACTTCCCAGACACTACATCTGCCCCTGGCCTTGCACCTCAGAGTATAAGGCCGGCTAGGGAGACAGCGCAGACGACTAAATTTATTAACGGTGGACGGGCCACTCTATCTTTCACTGCAACAACAGTAGGTGATCCCATCAGAAATCTGTCTCCTGGCTAGCCAGCAAATCCGAGCTGCCACACTCGCAGCCGCTCTACCCAAATGAAGGGAAACGAATGTTGTTTCCTTGCAGAAACACATCAGAAGCCAAATGCTGGACCAGGAAGGCAGTTGCTATTTCCATTTGAGAAAAAGTCTTTTACTTTCCATAGGTTCTTTCCCAGGTACCTATTTTTGCTTTTCTCTCCTTTCTTTGATAATTACAATTATAAAGAAGAAGTTGAACATTTTAGGAGAGCTCAGTATTGAATTTCTAATACTCCAGGAGGATTTTGATGTATTAGGCCAGGAGTTAAGCACATATTAATCTCAATACATCCCAGCTAGCACATAATCATGATTCATTACAAATGTACATCAGTAGCCAGCCTCACTTAAAAGCAAACTATTTACTATTTTACGTTAAAAATAAAAGTGATATTTGAGCTACCTTTTACAGCTCAAATTCCATTTCATTGTCCTCAAGACATGCAACATTTTAAAGATGAGCTACTTACTCCAAAAAGATTTTCTCATGGATTAAATTAATATCATTATGAGATTATGGAATAATATAGATCTTAAACTTTGTAAATTAAAAAAAAATTGGGAAAATGAGGTATATACCATAAATAGTTTTACATATCTATAGTGAAATAGTGTTAAAAACTGTAATTCATAGAGGTATCAGCACTTCTAGAATATTCTAGTACCAGTAAGAACAGGAGTTAAGTGAGGCAACTAAGGCAGGTCATGCAAGTGAGGGTCAGATCCTGTCTTTAAAACTTTGATACTGTAAGGGGGATTTTTGGGCAATGATTTTCACTTTTAAAAATATTGTATTAAAATATTATTTCTGTGGATTCTTAAGTCTTTTGGTGCCTTTAAATTTTTGTGCCTGAAGCAAGTGTCTCACTTTAGTTCTGACCCATAGAATGTACATTTTCCCAGAAATTCATTTTTCCCATAATGCTTTCCACAGAACATGGGGTATTAACAGTAGTTACATTAAAAAAATAACAAATTGATCTCAAATAAGCGTTAGGAATACTTAGCTAAACAAAGTTGATTAGCTTTCTTATCACTCGGTTTAGATGCTTTAGTAACCTGAAGTGTATTGAGCATCTCCGACAACACGGGGCGTTTCTCAAACTGACTTGCCCAACGAACTCTCTTTTTTCACAAAGCAAGTAAAATACGCTGAGGGACACATTCTGGGAAAGTGTCTGAGAGCCATTCCAGCACATGTTTTCATCCAATAAAGCTGCCTTTCCACATCTATTGTTTTCTTTTTCTTTTCTTTCCTCCACTTACCCCACTTTTTTTTCCCAGAATACTAAAAAGATGGGCATGTTGACACAATCAGGCTAAAGTTACAGAAGAGCTGAATTAGTATTTCTATAAATAGGTATAGTAAAAATTCATTGTAAGGAGATATCAGAATAATAGAACACACGTTGGGGCTTAGTGGCTCTTAAATATAATGATGTCAAACACACTTACCGGTAAAGTCTGTATTGACTGGGTGAGTGGAGCTGGGGAATTTATAATATCCATTTCCTGTGAAACGAATGCCTTTCATCATCTTGGCCCTTGGAGCTGGTAGAGATGACTCTCTCCTTTCTAGCTGGTATACAGGAGAAGGTCCATTCAGTTCTTCAGGTTCAAGCCACGTAAGATGGATGGCTGTGCTGTTCATTCCCTCAACCAGAGGAGGCCTCAGTTGGGCTGGTGCTAAATATCAGAAAACAGTTGTTACATTCGAGAATTGGGTTTCTATCTCTAGACACAGATATTCACACATATGTACACAGGCACCTGTGTATATCACACAAAAATCAAATAAGTTGTGGTCTCAGGTATTTATGTAGTTCTAGGAACTGAAAACACTGGATAGAGTTTATCTTAAATGTGACTAAGCAAAAGTTAAATGACTAACAAATACTTAACACAAAACTTTTATGAGTAAACAAAATTTTTTCTTGCTAAATAATAGACATTATATATTATAGCCTGTTGGTGCCCCACTCAGATTCTCTTTACCAAGCATGTGACTAAATGCTCCAGCTTCCGTGCCTATTGGTCTCTATTGGCTCATGGCTGCCCCCTTTTCTGGAGAATTCCCCTTGCTGGAGTGGGAGCTACCTCACCCAGGACCTGGAAGATTGCTCATGAAATCTGCAGCCAGTGATTCCTGATCACAAAGGGCAGAGCCTCTTATCTTCATGTGGCATCGGCTCACAGCTGCAAGTCACAGAGGCCAAGCAGGTGAAGAACATTATTGAAATGGGTTAGTTGGGAAGAAAAGAGGCAGTGTGGGAAGAAGAACTGGGTGGGGGTAAATGATCACTATTTGTGCCAGCCAATGGATGACATAGAAACAATGACCTACAGTTGCCAAATCCTTTACTTGGTTTAAAAAAAAAAAAGTCATTTTATGTGGAATTTTCTGATTTTTTTTTTTGAAGGGGGAATTCACCCTGAGCTAACATCTGTGCCAATCTTCCTGTATTTTGTACATGGGTCACTGCCACAGCATGGCTGATGAGCGGTGTAGGTCTGTACCCGGGATCCAAAATTGTGAACCCAGGTCGCCAAAGCAGAGCGCACCAAACTTAACCACTAAGCCATGGGGCCAGGCCCCATAATGTTCTGATTTTTGAAGCTTAGTAACTGGCTTAAATTAAAACAAATAAATAGCAAACACCATTCCAAATGGTTTTGGAGGCTCCTAGGATACCCCAGGACTAACAGATTGAGATTTTCCCTATAATCTACCAGAATGGGGATCAGAATAATAACTGAATTATGAAAAATGAGTTCTGTTTTGGTTTCTTTTCCTTAAACAGTGGAGTTTGTAGGCTGACATTCATATCCACTCTAATTGTGTCAGCTAGATTTGAGAGGTGAAAGAGAAGAAAGAAATAAATGTCATAATGCCCAAGCCTATTTGGCCCAAACAAAGGCCACGGACTTTTAATTTATACTTTTGTTAACACAGCTTTATGCAGACACAAAGTCTTTGCCCATTTCAATAAACACAAATTAAAATGATGTGAATACAAGAATTGATCTCCTTAAACCATGAGAGGAAATTCACCTTAAAATAGCTTAGAACAATTACTATTCATCACTTTCTAGAAAGCTTGGCCAGCTTTCCAAAAGAAACAATTAATTGTGATTCTATTTTAATTTTTAGTAAAGAAGAGAGGGCATAGAGCAAAAAGTACATCAACTTAAAAAGATAATTAATAATTCTGTTCATCTTCTGCCACAAAAATATCACGTGATATTTTTATTTTTATATATGTATGAATCTGCAAATTTTATGCATCATTTCCCTTAGTAGTCCTTGCCCAAAATTAGCTAAATGGTGGGTTCTCAAAGATTTTATTCTACGAGCTATGATCTGTCTTCAAAATAACCCAAAACAAAATAGAAAGCTAAGCCATCCAGAAATTTCTTATCCCACTAAGTTTCTCTTTGGAGTTTGGAGTTTCATCTTTGTATTAAAATTTCAGCAGGTCATTATTGGCTATGAGCTTAACTGGAGGAGGGCTGTCAAAGATTTTTGAGTCCTGGGCTCTGGCAAGCAATGGAGGATTAATTACAGCATTTTTCATTGTCTAAAGTTTGCTACCTACGAGCACAAAAAAGGAATTTTTGAGCTCTTCTGTTATGTTTTCTGTTTTCCACTTGAGATTCCCTGGTGTTCTGGGACACGAGGACCAGAACTTTTCAGTTTGGAAAATACCGTCTATTCTAGTGCTAGCCAATAGAACTTTTTCTAATATCAAAATGTTCCAGATCTATACCCTCTAATATGGTAGCCACCAGCCACATGTGACTATTGAGAACTTGAAATGTGGCTAGTGAGACTGAGGAATGGAATTTTAAATTTTGTTTAATTTTAACTAATTTTATTTTAAATTTAAATAGCCAAATATATCTCTACCATATTGGAGAGCAAAGATTTAGAGAATCACAAATTACGCATATTTGATGTGTTGAGAATAAGATTTCCATTTTAAATAAATATTTAGAGAATCATGACTAAACCTCCCGTACTCTTAAATTGAAGAGTTGCATTCTTATTTAAAAGCAGCCTCTTCCTCAAGGTCTCATTTGGTTGACATCTGATCTGCTTTTACTTTATTCCGACCACCCAGCTGGACCGGGATAATGATGAAGCTTCGTACCACGATAGTATTCAGAAGGCTTTTTCCATTGATAGCGTGATCCAAAATCACTTTTTCATCAGGAATATAAATTTAGAGTCAAGCAAAACAAAAGGCATTCCAGCAACTCGGTAGAGATTTTTTGTTCTTGTTTTGTTTTACTATCCCCTAAAAGTGAGAGGACATGCTTTTTTAAATTTGGCAAAATGATTATAATCAATAAGGGCACTCTTGCATTGAGAATCTACTAAAATGAATGTTGATTATTTAAACTCTAACAAGCAGCAGAGCACTTCTCCTCGGTTCACAAGGGTCTTATTCCACCAACCAGTTAGACTATTCTTGGCAAGTCAATTCCAGAGAATGAGGTGAAATGGAGTATATTTTTTTTTAACTCTTGCCTACAAACAATGAAATAACCTTCCAGTTGGGATGTTGTAGTTTTCCTTGGAGGGGTCAACCCAGCGTGTTTGAAAGGGTGAGCACCCTACTGAGTCATTCCCTTTCAGAGTTCCTCTAAGACCAGAGGGGAATTTTCAATCAATTAAACTAGGCTGGCCACACACACGCATCCACACAGACACATACGTAGAATGATGAGAAGAAAAACAGATGCCCCTGGACTATTAAACACGTGCACGCAAACACAGAATTGTTGAGAGATGGGAGAATAAAAGATTATATGTCAGATTATCAAAATGAATGAATTATAGGTATAAGTTTCTTAACCATAAGACAGTAAATTAAGAGACAACATAGAATAGTGCAAAGGACTCTGCAGAATTGTAGAAATTATATTTCACTTTTTAATTGCCATTTCTACATGAGTTTAGGAAAATCACTTAAAACTTATATTTACCTCATTTTTCCCGTCTACAACATGAAGATAAATTTTCAGTGGAACATTTTGACAATAACTGCTTTTAGAAACAATATGTGTAATTGGTTATGTTTTAAAAAACAAATTTCTGTACAAATACGATGCACTATTACTAGCCAATAACACATCTTTCAAATTACTTATTATAAAAGGGTACAATTCATCCACATGCAACATCCATCTGTATTTACATAGAAAATCCTTTTAGAAATGTAAAGTATAAAGTAGATCTTTAAATATCCATCGTTTCAAAGAATAAGAACACACAAAGTCTGTTTCCACTTGGAATAAAATTACAAAGTTCTTCTATTTTCTGCAACAGCACTGTAATCCAATTTCTGGTCCAGCTCTTCTATTTATAAGTATTCTTTTCTAAAATGCTCTGATAATATATATTCATCTTTATGCAGCATTTCTTACTTTATAATCTGATTAATAGCATATCGTAATGCATAAATTTACACTTGCAAAATTTATGTAGTGTGGAGTTTGAGCATCGCAGGAAAAGAAAAGAAGCTCCTGCAGATAGGTCTTTAAAATGGAATCTCTTTTTTGTTTTCAAGGAAGAGTTTGTTGTCTGTGAAGACTGCATGGCTGTGTCGATACGTTAAGACATCACCAACTGTCTATTATGAAGACAGGAATTCTGGAATGATAGCCTTTCCATATTTCAGGGGTGTGTAGGGGGCAGGCTAACGTAAGACCTCTTCATGCACCTTGTCTCAGGGATGCAAAACTGTCACAGGAAATACTAAGCCAAAACATGTGGGAAAGGACACTAAGACCAGGACTCAAACAAAAAATCCAGGTCATGAAGCCGCATTTCCCAGTTGGCAACAGCCCTACGGAGACTGCTGTCCAACCAGTGTCCAGAAGAGGACACTGAGATCACTCAAAGTTGCCTTGTTGACTATCTACTCTCTGACTGGGGAAAAAAGAACAAAATCTATGTTTCCATTTCCTTCCTTGTTTATAGTCTCCTTCAAGAAAGATGTGTAGGGGAACTGATCTGGAAAGGAGAAAACTCGGGTTCTAGACTGACTCTTGAGGTCCCTGGTTATGGAACACTGGCTAATCCACCATTTGGTCTCTCAGTTCTTCAGTACCTCATTTGTTGAAGAGCATCACAGACCCGATTATGTCTAGGATCTCTTCTAGTTTCAAAATTCTACGATAGAATATTTTCAAACAGTTAGTAAACTTCTCAGTTAGTAAACTGTGAAGGGGTATCGGACATTTGGATCCCCTTAGCTCTCCAGGAAGCCAGCTAGCTTATCAGCTTGTTTCTTTACCCCAGTATGGCATATAAATATTATGAGTTTTCAATGTGTTCTACGATACAATGAAAGGCCAGAAAGCATTGCTTTTAGAGAATTTAAAGGGCATCACCTCCTTGGGGAATGAACACTCCCTTAACCAGATGTCATTCAGGTGATCAATAACCGGCACATCACAAGCATCCTGCATGTGAAGAGACAAGAGGACCCACGATTTTGGAACTGCACATCCAGCAGTAATGATAACAGCACGCACCATTCTCTAGAGTCCACCATGAATAAAAGGTAGGTGCTTGGACTGTAATTACGGCATCCTTGCTAGCCAAACTTGAAGCTTTTATGGGGCTTATGCAATTAACTACTTAAATGCATCGTAACACTTGCTTCTCAGACAGCAAA